TAAAAAAAAAAAAAAAAAAAAAAAACCTTGCCAAGAACAATACAACCCAATTTAATAAGGGAAGTTGTACTTTAACAGTGATTTTGTTACAATTTACTACGCGCTCAGTATGTTCGGCTTGGCAAACAGGAACTGACATACAGATAAATGAAAATTTTACTTCTCTTAAACAACTAGTGGCAGTTGCATAAAAGTCATTTAAATTGTGAAAGCGTCCTTTGAAGTTCGCTCGTGTTTCAATCTTCATCATCTAATCAAACTGGAGCTCTTCAAAGGTAGGAAAGACTTGCGAAAAAGAATTTTTTTAATGATTTTTAATAATCAGTCTTTTTTTCAGTGTCTTCGCACAGATTTCCTTTCACAACTAAGTTAGCGTCATGTTTGGTGATGGCATGCGCCATGCATACACTAGAAAATTTATATAAAGCACGAATTTTGTACCAGCTACGCCAATATTCCATTTTTCTCCTTTTCTTTTTTAAAGAAAAAGAAAATTAATGTTCAAGGCCGCATAAGATATTCATACGTGAAAGTAGCAAATGCTTGTACCGTCTCCAAACTAACCAGATAGAACGTGCCCGTAATTAATATTTACACTGGTTTGAAGAAAACAAACTAACACAATTAAAAAAGCAACAGTTTCTCATTCCATATTCCGGCGGGAGTAAAAAGTTTAAATTTTCTACGACTTAGAGCATGAGAAAAAACCGAATACAATGAGAATAGAAATAATACATGACGTTAATTATGAAGGTAGGTGAGATTTGGAGATGGTGTAGATTAAACTGGTTACTTCACAAACTAAGAGGACATTGATTTAACAATAAATAATGAACGACCGTCTTTCGTTGTATTTGGAATTAAGGAACTTAACTTCTCAAACTCATCAACAATTCATAAAGAAAATACAAACTCAAGAAATTGATGCTTAATGAGTGTTCGGATTAGATAAAAAAAAATGCTCATTTTTGCATCGTTAATTTCTTCTTCATTTGAGTAATATAAACATAACATTCTGAATTTTGGGTCCATCTTTGAATTTACTTTGAAACTTGTGCGGTCAAAAATAACGGTTTACTGCCCTTAATTACAATGTACATCTTACTCTTTTTGACTCATACATCTGAGAGGGCCGTTCTTGTTATCACTTCAGTTCCTGCTTTTCAAAGCACGTGTTTTGTTCATCGTTTACACGTATCCTTCATTTTTCCAAGTTCGGGCTCTGCTCATGTGAAGCATGAAAATAACACGCAGCGAAACCATGGCTTAGACAAACTCAAGCTTAAACAACTTAATATTAGATTTAGCCAGGGCTAAAAGCGGAGCCTCCGTTTATACTTATAATAAAAGCAATTAAAATTAATATATCAATGAACTCTACAACACTAAAAAGAATCCTCCTTTTGGGTGCTTAAGAACAGTTTAATATTCCGCAAACGACACTCAAGCTAAGAGTCGTAATATGTTTTTATTTACAGCAAAATCAAAAAACCGTTTTAATACACAATACTCCGTTCGGTAGCACCCAATTTACAGGTTTCGATTTCTAGAGTCAATATTTCTGTCTAAGGAATGACCTAACAGAAAAATCGGGCCGACCTGGCATGTTAAGTTAAATTTTCCCTGAATATTTGTTTTCCAATTTCTCCCGGGTGTTAGAGAAACATGAACGTAATTAATATCAGTTTGGATTATTATGGCCATGTGAATATATTGCGAGTGTAAGACTACACATGGAACTCAAAATACTACCTTGTGGTACCTCCACCGCAGGCATCAGCACCTGTCGTGGTATTCGTTCTCACTGATAAATAGGATTTAAGTTAAGCCACAGAATCGTGATAAGCCCATGCAATCGTTGTAAGTTTATAAGGTAGGAAGGTGTGATCAACGGTGTCAAGGGCCCAGTAACATTGAGGTCCATGAATACAGGTTTCACTCGGTAAAGTATTCGATTGCAGTGCCTGCCGAGACCTTCAAAGGAAAGCCAGATCTCAGGGAATTTATAATTTTTCATGCGTAATCAGTCATGTGCGCTTAGTTTTGTCGACATTCAGGAACCTGCATGACGACTCAATGGTCAAGTACCTTTTAAACTGGGATCACTTTGACATCAAAACATTTTTTTTAACTTTGCTGATTCAAGAACTACAGCATGAACCTTAAATGTTACTTTAAGACTAAAGTTAATTGTTTTATTAGCAGTCAGCTTCTTAGGACAGATGGTCGGCCACTGATTAAAAGACTGTTACTAATCTTTTTCCCAATCTCGGTCACAGGCCCGATTGTCAATTAATTATACAGAGTAGGCATAGTTTTCAAACAATGAAACTTATGCTTTAAAAATATATATATTTTTAGTATTCGTTTGCTTTGAAAATCTCTTAGCACATTTTTAGTCTTCTCCTATAGGAAAGAACTCTACGACGACTCTAAGTCTCTCAATAGCGCTGGCTGTTGAGAGCGACGTAAGGGACTGTGCAATAATTATCAGGAGGGGGGGCTGAATAACTAGAGTTATCTAGCAAATCTTAGACAGTACGCCCCCTCCAAAAAAAAAAAATTAGTTCTAACCCCCCTCTGTTATGTTAAAAATAACGTCGCACCCCCCCCCCCCCCCCCCCCCCCCTCCCACCAC